CATATGCATATGCATACATGCATACATATATGCATACATACATACATACATACATACATACATACATACATATATATATATATACACACTTACATACATACATATGTACATACATATGCATATAAATATATATATATATATATATACACACATACATGCATACATCCAATGCATGCATGCATATATATACATACACATACATACATATATACTTACATACATACATACTTACATACTTACATACAGACATACAGACATACAGACATACAGACATACATGCATACATGCATACATACATACATACATACATACAGACATACATACATACATACATACATACATACATACATACTTACATTCATTCATACATACATAAATACATGAATATATACATACTGTACTGTAATCCCGCAAATTGGCAGATGGACAGGTAAACGCACTGGGGCCTGAAGCCCGCGATACCTACGACCCTTCCTAGCCGCCCCACGCGCAGGGCGTTGAGCAATGCCGAAACCCTTGAAGCCTCAGGGTTTAGGGGTTTGGGGTTTTGGGGTTTGGGGTTCAGGGTTTAGGGTTTAGGGTTTAGGGTTTAGGGTTTAGGGTTTAGGGTGTAGGGTTGTTTCAAACCGCTTTAGCTTGAAGTCTGGAAGCTTCAACACCCAGAAGCCGATGGAACCAGAACCCTTACCAGCCTGAACCGCCAACGGCACAGATTCTGTGTGCTATACTTGGGGGCTCAGGGGACTTAGTAAGTCGGTTATAAGTAGGGTTATAATTGGGGTAACTTCATGTAGGGGTACTTATACCTCTACTTACAACCTACTTACTAAGTCCCCTGGGCCTCGAAGTAACGTCTGAAAGGCGGGCCGATCCGAAGGATATAGAGGAGGTCGATGACCTCCAGGACCTGCGTGGCATCAGTCCAAGAGAAGAAGTAGTAGTTGCCGTGGTTTCGGTGGTGGTAGCAGCGGTGGTTAATGGTGATGATGTGATGATTCTGGCCATGATAGTGACGCTATCACGGACAGAATCACCAAGGAGATTTTTAATCCGACCAATCGCATGGCGCAATTCGTGATTGGATCTGGCTACTATGCAGTATCTCAACTGTCGGCACTTTTCCCACCATTTCGCTTGGTAATATAAGTAGTAGTCGTCATCTGGTCATCAACAGCCAGATCTTTCACTTCGGTCATGGAGAGCAGATCCAACTAGATCACGTTGGTCGAAGCAACTCCTCAGTTTCAGGATGCGTCATCTGAGTCGAAGACGAACCGCATCACCATGCGGCTCATACAAACCAGAATCATCGCTGTAGTCAACTCTGTAGGAACTACAGGGAACAATGCAAGCAATGTAAGCCATAGTGGCCATAGTATTTCCAATGGTAATCAGCAGCACAGCAACAGCACAGCAAGTGTAGCACACACATCTTAAGCTCAGCACAGCCAACAACAAATATTCAGCAATCTCCAATTCAGACATCGGCCCTAAACCCTAAGCCCTAAACCCTAAGCCCTAAACCCTAAACCCTAAACCCCAAGCCCTAAACCCTAAACCCTGAAGCCCTAAACCGAAGCCGTCAGGTTCAGGGTCGGCACCCCACACGGCAAACCGAGAGAATGCCCCCCTTGCCACCACGAGGATGACATCCCGGAGAAGAAGGCCAAGGCAGGAGGGCCTATTTAGGGTTAAGGGTTTAGGGTTTAGGGCTTTGGGTTTAGGGCTTGGGGCTTAGGGTTTAGGGTTGAGGGTTGAGGGTTTAGGTAGGGCTGTCGCAGGTGGCGCATCACAACAAGCCGCACGACTGCTGGATCGCGATCTGCGGCGAGGTTTACGACCTCAAACCCTAAACCCTAAATCCTAAACCCTAAACCCTCAACCCTGGCGAGGTTTACGACCTGACGGACTTCCTGCAGCACCACCACGAGCAGCGCAACTCCATCCTCGCCTGGGCCGGCCGCGACGCGACGCCCCTCTTCGGCACTACCTACTTTTAGGGTTTAGGGTTTAGGATTTAGGGTTGAGGGTTTAGGGTTTGGGGTTTCGGGTTCCTTATAATAATAATAATAATGGGCCCCAAAACCCTATTCCAATTTCTTCGGCACTACCTGTACTGTTTTGGGTTCCTTATTATAAGTAGAGTATAATGGGCCCCAAAATCCCAGTCTAATTCTTAAGGCTCCTTCTTATAGAACCCCTTGTAGTAACTCCTATAGGACCCCTTTAAAGGAACCCTAAACCCTAAACCCCTAAGCCCTAAACCCTAAAAGACCCCCTTAAAGGAACCCTAGTACCCCTTATAGTATATAGGACTCCTTTAAAGGAACCCGTCGTCTAATTCTTAAGGCCCATCTTCGACAAGATCCCGGGCCGGTTCCCTTCCAAGCAGTGGATGTCGGTCCACATGCGCCCGGAGTTCAAGACCGGCAAGGCCTGGGTTCTTCTTAGGGGGTTTAGGGTTTAGGGTTCTTCTTAAGGGGTTGGATGTAAGTTACTACAATATATAAGGAAACACTTTTATTGAAGATTACATTCCTTACTAGCTAATTATAATTACTATTATAGATCCCTATCATGGTAACTTAAATACAGCCCCTTATTAAACAGAGCCCAGCAAGGTTGGGCCAGAGAGGCCCGTGGACCCCGTCATCAAGCAGCTGAGGGACCTGCACGACGAGCTGCGGCGCTTAGAGGGCCCCTCCAAGGAGGACATCGAGGCTGGAGTCTCCGAAAATAAGGTTCGGGTTCAGGGTTTAGGGTTTAGGGTTTAGGGTTTAGGGTTTAGGGCTTAGGGTTTAGGGTTTAGGGCTTAGGGTTTAGGGTTTAGGGCTTAGGGTTTAGGGTATAGGATTAAGGGTTTAGGGATATGGTCGTGTGGCGGTGCAAAAATCGGAGTTTCCGAAAATGAGTGGTACCTTATTTTGGGGTCCGTAAAATAAGGCTCCTACTATTTAGGGAGCAACATTAGGGTCCCCTGGGTACCTGATTTTGGAGTCCTTATAATAAGGCTCCTAAGATTTAGGGTACTATAGAAGGGGTCCCCTCCCCTAAGCCCTAAACCCTAAACCTAAACCTTAGACCCTAAACCCTAAACCGTTTCGGAAACCACCAGGCGGCGAAGACGGCCATGAAGGTGCCGGGCAAGACGGATGCGCCGACCCTGTCGGAGGAGAGCCGCTTCCCGAAGTTGGCGGAGATCTCGGCTGGCAAGGACCTGCCGTTCTTCTCGCGTGCCGAGGTTGCCAAGCACAACACAGCGGAGGAGCCGTACATGATCATCCACAACCGCGTCTACAACCTGAAGCCCCTGCTGGGCAGCCACCCCGGCGGCGACGACATCCTGATGTCCAAGGCGGGCACGGATTGCACCAAGGACTTCGAAGTCTTCGAGCATTCCGAGAAGGCACGAGTGCAGCGAGACCGCGACATGCTGGTGGGCCAGCTGGTGCCGGCGGAGAACACGGACTGGTCGGAGTCGGCAGCAGTGCAGCAGGTGGTCGGCGA